AGGTACTCCCCGAGGTATAAACTCCGACCTTATCCACGTGGGATAAGTTTGTTTATATTCGGGTTTGGAGATTTCCTTGAGGAATCCTTCGAAAGGCGAAAGAATTTAAAGGATTACGAATTCCTTCAAGAGGATCATCTTTAAACTCAGATTCCCTGAGTGTCGAGATTAGCTCATCGAGCTCCGCCTTTTTAGGACCTAGACCTAGAGTAAGTTTCAATCCTCCAATTTCGTCAATATTTCATTAAAATTGTATACATTTGTGAAATAGATAAAATATATAATTAAGCTAAGAATTTCTGCCGCACTCCCAACTTTTTGTTGATGACTGATCAGTGATCAGTGATCAGCACTCTCTGACTTTTTGACTTGTCTCAAATCTCACCACTCTTTTCAGCGGAAATTGTTTTTCCCATAGCTTGTCTTGTTTACCCTGAGGTCAACGATTACTGGCCTTAGTTGAATTCATCCCTCCTTCTAAACTTTCAGCTTCAATTTCTAACGCATCATGTCCTCTTCAAGTACCCTCCACAAATGAATAAAAAATTCATGTTTACCATCAACGCTACCCGAGTACTGTAGACTTCCCATAAAGGTATATATATAGCTCTGTGTTGAAAGTTTATTACCATAAGAATGATACAATAATTCTTAGTAGGCTTTCATTCAAAGAGATTATAACTTAGAAGAATGATGGATGATGTTTCTCAAGACATTAGAGTTCTGGAAGTCAAATGTTGACCAAACTTAATATATCTACCCCTGAAACCGCTTTGGGAAATTAAACATAATTTTCAAGCTCCTCTCTAATCTCCCATCACCACCCCACCACCCTGAGATTTTCATGAATTAATTGTGTGGTATTTTGCATAAACTGTATGATGTGATTTACAATAATATATACCTGAAGTGTTTTGGCTTCAAATATATTTGCTTTTATATGACTATATATAAATAAATAAATGGATAAACATTGAGAAGGTTTGATGATAGTTTTGTACAAGTTCACAAATTTTATATACCAAAGAATAGTTTTTCTTATTTAAATAAAATGAGTAGAGTTGTGGAAATGCTGGAAGGAAGCTTTGAGACGACAATTATTTGACACCTTGTGAATGCCAAAGCTTTCTTCGCTTGGTAGTTAACACTGAGTCTAACTAGAGACCTTTTATATGTTTTTGTTCTTTTGCTCTTGGTTTTTAACATAGGATACCATAACCCTAATTTTTTTTTTTTTTTTAATCAAATTGAGGTGTAATTTGCTCTTGTAATATATAAGCTAGCATTGTAATTCAATGATAACAACTCCACTTATATGCTAGCACTGTAATTCAATGATTTACTGCAAGTACCAAGTCTTTCTGATAGATGTCCCCATTGCTAAAAGTTGGCTGTTTGCTTACAGTCTAATGCCATTGATATAGTCTTCTGGTTATTGTTTTCTTATAGATCAGCATGACAATGCCAAGTTTGAACATGAATGCACTATAAGATTGAGGCAGCCAAAATAATCTTTATAAGAGTGGATTCCACCACTCTATTCCTTTCGCCGGATCCACTTCCTCAGACCTGCCAATCTTCACTCTTGGACCGAGCCCCTTATGTGTTATTATCTGTAAATCAACCGTTAAAAACAAAACTTCCAACATGTTGGTCAACTTTGATTAACTTCTTGACAGGTTGCCTTCGAACCTCATAAACAATCTTGTCTTTCTACTTAACAAAATCTCCACAATGATCAGTTCACTTATTCTCTCTATATAACCTTCAAAAACGGATCAAAACCTAGTTTCTCCATTAACAAGCCTCTGTCTCTTCACTATGTTTCTTCTAGCAAGAACAGCTTCAGGTTCTGTAAAGCCTAACAAAAAAACCTGTGAGCCCAAAACCTGTTGGGCCGAAACATGACTATAAGCTACCCATTCCATATCCTCCTATGGCAGTTCTGGATTCCAACTTAACAGCCAGTTATATGGACTATAAATTGTTTGAAAATTTGACAAACTAAAGCCCAGAGAAACCTGAGATTTTGAAGGACACAAATGATCTGCCCTTTATCTCGGCACCACGCCACCACCCCTGTTTCTAAATAAAAGCAGGAGCTCTTAAGCTTTGGTGAAGCCCGGAACCGAGTCCTCTTAATCCCTGGATCACTAAACATGTCCATTTGGGTGTTAAGATTTTTATAATATTGTGTAAATATTTTATAATCAGGTAAATATTATGTAATTTTTTAGTTATGTCAACTATACGATCTTAGAATGTTCTAAAGATTATGTAATCTCCTAATTATGTCAGACAAAATATTGTGTAATCCGCAATTGACATAATTAGAGGATTTAGGAGATCGTATACTCCCTATATAAAGAGTGTAACTCCTTAGTGATAAATCAATGAATTGAAAACATACAATTCTTCAATTTTCACATGGTATCAAAGTCAGGTTCTGATCTAAAAAATTGCTCGTAGAGCAACCGTCAGAAAATTAACTGGCAAATAACCATTATCCAGTTGTCGTCAATCCAGAAAACGACCTCAACCAATCAAACCAAACCACCACTGATATCTCATCTAAACAACCATTCTCCAACCATCCTATTCCATTCTAGAAACAACTGCCCGATTTGCCCAGTTTTTGCCAAGAAGCCGACGCCAAACAACTCCAGAAAAAGTCTACCCATCAAATCCCCTAAGAACCAACAACCATTTTTTCAACCACCAAACACCCAACAGGCCAAAAAAAAAAAAAAAAAAAAAAAAAAAAAAAACCAAACCATAACTCCAAACAATGTCAACATCAAGTCAACAGCCAAATTCCAGCCACCTTTAGCCAATTATTCTAAACGGTCCAGTTTCCATTGGTTGATCCCAATCGTCGATCTGCACAATTTCTGCTAGTTGATTTGCTGTTGTTGCCGTCTACTGCCCATTTGCTATTGTCGTCCGCTGCCGATCTGCTACCACATAACTAATGTCGTCGAACTGACGGCTGCTCTGAGAGAGCCACCAATTTTTTTACTGTGAGTTTGTTTATATTTTTTATGAACTCTCTCTTTACTTTCGTGTTTTTGTAAGGAAAAAAAAAATGTCAAAAAAAAAAAATGTCAAAAAAAGAGTAAGAAAAAGTCAAAGTAAAGGTCAAAAAAATCAAATATTAAAAAAAAAAAAAGGGAGGGTCAAATAGTTCAAAAACATGTCAAGGTCAACAAAGTCAAACAAAAAAACAAGGGAAGGATGTGTGGAGAAATTCTACGAAACCAGGTTCCAAATTTGGAAGCAAGTTACTCAGAGACGACTAAACCTGGCATGCTCAATAATGACAAAATGAAAAGTTCTATTGATGCTGTTGTGGAAAAGAAAGCAGATGTCCAACAATCTTCATCATTTGTAGCTACTGTTGGAAATGATGGTAAGTCTTTAAATATGTGTACATTTGTTTCTAATAGTGCATGGATAATTGATTCTGGTGCTACCGATCATATGACATTTCATTCTAGGCATGTTTCTAACCTTAAGTCATCCTCACAAAACTTTGTTTCTACTGCCAATGATGAATCTAATTGGGTCATTGGAGAAGGTTCGTTAACCCTAAAAAACTCTTTACACTTAAATTCTATCTTAGTTGTCCCATCCCTAAATTATAACTTGTTGTCAATCTCCAAAATAACCAAAAGCTTATCTTGTGTGGTGATTTTTTGGCCTAAATTTTGTGAGTTTAAAAGTATTCAAACAAAGTAGACGATTTGTTGTGGTATTAGACGGGTGCAATTGTATTACTTGGATTTAGAGTCACAAAGTTCATCGGCGCCTCAGACATGCTTCGTTCGGCTATCTGAAGAAACTTTTCCCAAGTTTGTTTGAAAAAAATGATATCAATAACTTCCGTTGTGATGTTTGTGAACTACCAAAAAGCCATCAAGTCCCATTTCCAACAACAATCAACAAAAGTCCAAGTCCTTTTATGCTTATACATTCAGATGTCACAAGTTACTACCTTAGGTGGATCCCATTGTTTTGTTACTTTTATTGATGACTATACGAGAATGACTTGGGTATTTCTAATGAAATCTAAAGGGGAGGTTAATTTACTCTTTCAGAGATTTCACAAAATGGTTCGTACGCAGTATAATGCATAGGTTCAAGTCCTTTGAAGTGACAATGGAGGAGAATATCAAAGTTCAAATCTTCAACAGTACTTGGCAACACATGGTATCATTCATCAGACTACTTATCCCAACACACCCCGACAAAATGGTGTTGCTGAGGGAAAAAATCGGCACTTATTAGAGGTCGTTCGTGCCTCATTAATAGAGGCTCACATCCCATTATCCTTTTGGGGAGAAGCACTTACTTCTGCAACCTACCTAATCAGTCGGGTACCCTCTAGTTCTCTTCGGTTCGAGACACCTTTTCAGGCTCTTGGTAAAGCAATGAATGCTCTAATGGTCCCGAACTTACCACCTTATGTTTTTTGCTGTATCGCATTTGTTCATCTCCATAAACATCAACGCAACAAGTTGTCCCCTCGTGCATTGAAATGTGTTTTCGTTGGGTATGGCGTTCATCAAAAGGGGTATCGATGTTATCATCGTCCAACTCAACAAACGTTTGTAATGATGGATGTTGTTTTCCATGAAGAGTTGATGTATTTTCCTTCTAAGTCTGAACTTCAAGGGGAGCATTGTCAAGAAGAAATTCAGACTCTTGACTATGTTGTCCAAGATGATGTTCAAGATGTGGGAGACCATGAGTCACAAACTAGACCTATTGTTCGACAAGAAGATGAAGTAGATGATGGTAATGTGGAGGTGGTATCAAACCCGTCCATAGAATCTTCTCAGTCTGAGTCTCTTATTCTTGGTATGTCACAACCATCATTTATTGAGAATGTTCCTGATTTAGAGTCTGAACCAATTAGGAAACAGTTAACACCACGTAGTACTAGAGGGATTCCCAAACCAACATACGAACCATAGCTATCTAGTAAAGTCAAATGCCCCATGAGTCATTATGTGTCTAACCATCGTCTATCAGAATCAAATATGTCATTTGTGAATCAATTATCTACTGTATCTATTCCTAATAGTGTGCAGGAAGCCTTATCTGATCCAAAATGGAAAGTTGTTATGAATGAGGAAATGAAATCGTTACAGAAGAATGAGAATTGGGAACTTGTTGATCGTCCCGTTCACACGGAAAAAAGACTATTGGATGTCGATAGGTTTGCACTATGAAGTATAAAGCTGATGGTACAATTGAGAGATTCAAAGCAAGACTAGTAGCAAAAGGGTACACCCAAACCCATGGGATCAACTATACATAGACATTTGCACCCGTAGCTAAAATCAACACAGTACGTGTCTTATTATCTTTAGCTGCAAACCTGGATTGGCCATTACAGTAGTTCGATGTGAAGAATGCTTTCCTACATGGAGAATTATCTAAAGAAATCTATATGGATCCTCCACCAGGGTGTATTTTACTAGTGAAACATAGCCAAAAGGTATGAAAGTTAAAGAAGTCATTGTATGAGTTAAAACAATCTCCGAGAGCATGGTTTGGGAGGTTCACCAAAGCTATGAAGTTTTTTGGCTACCATCAGAGCAATTCAGATCACACACTATTCCTTAAAAAATAGCAAGGAAAGATCACTGCACTTATTGTATATGGGGATGATATGGTGGTTACAGTAAATGATCCAGAAGAAAAGAAGGCATTGCAAAAGTACTTATCAGAGAATTCGAGATGAAGGACCCAGGTTCTTTGAAATATTTTCTCAGAATTGAAGTGTCTCAATCTAACAGAGGTATCTTTCTATCACAAAGAAAGTATGCCTTGGATGTGTTGCAGGAAACTGGTATGTCAGCATGTCAACCAACTGATACACCAATCGAAGAAGGCTTGAAATTAGGAGTCGAGACTGATCAAGTACCAGTTGACAAAGGGAGATACTAGAGACTTGTGGGAAGATTGATGTATTTGTCTCACACTAGGCCAGATCTTGCTTATGCATTAAGTATAGTCAGTCAGTTCATGCATAATCCTGGAGAGCAGCATATGAACGCAGTTATGCGTATCCTGAGATATTTAAAACATGCTCCTGGAAAGGGAATCTTATTTTCTAAAAATAAGGACTACCAAAATGTGCATGCGTATATTGATGCTGATTAGGCTGGAGCAGTAGATGACAAACGATCTACTTTTGGTTATTTCACTTTTGTAGGAGGTAATCTAGTCACGTGGAGAAGCAAGAAACAAAATATTGTGGCACGCTCAAGCGTTGAAGCAGAATTTAGGGGAATGGCACTTGGGATTTGTGAAGCTTTGTGGCTAAGATTTCTACTACAAGATTTGGGTTATCAACCTAATCAACCAATCCAGTTATATTGTGATAATAAAGTAGCATGTGACATTTCTTACAATCTAGTTCAACATTATCGTACGAAGCACATTGAAGTAGATAGATTTTTCATCAAAGAAAAACTGGATGAAAAGATTATTGAACTACCCAAGATTCGATCAGAGGATCAATTGGCCGATATTCTTACCAAGGCTATCTCCAAACGTATTTTCTCATAAGTGTTAGACAAGTTGGGCATGTGTGACATCTATGCACCAACTTGAGGGGGAGTGTTAAGATTTTCATAATATTGTGTAAATATTATGTAATCTTTTAGTTATGTCAGGTATACGATCTTAGAATATTCTAAAGATTATGTAATCTCCTAATTATGTCAGACAAAAAATTGTGTAGTCCGCAATTGACATAATTAGGGGATTTAGAAGATCATATACTCCCTATATAAAGGGTGTAACTCCTTAGTGATAAATCAATGAATTGAAAACATACAATTCTTCAATTTTCACATCTGGATCATATCATCACCCTTTTCATGACATTTCCAAGCTTTGCATCTCTATTATTAGCAAAGTGAAAGAAAATGAAAGCCGACCATTTAAACGTACAAACAAGAAGTTTATCTTAAAACAAGTACAAACAAGTAGTTTGTTCCAGAAGAACTACAAACAAGATTAAGAGTCGAAAACCCAGGCAATCATAAGCCACATTATTAATAGCTGCATGGGTGTGATTGTTTGTTTGACCCAAGTACGTAGAGAATCATCCAACTCATGAGCCAGACAATCAAGGACAACACTATCAAAAGCACCATCAGTAACAGTACTATTCTCAGTATAAGTGAAAGAAAATTAGAGTCTGACGGCCGCCAGTTGTCCTCACCGTCTTCCTCATCGTCCCTGTTGCGTCGTCTTCGTAGTCTGCATAAATGACTTGGGCGTATGTTCTCAGCTCGCCCACCCTTGCTATACTTTATATGTTTAGTCTTTTGGAAGACAGTATGTTCGTCCTGAAAATAAATAATAAACAGAATCTGTATCAGTTACTAGTATGGTCATCATTAATTTCATAAGAGCATATTCATAAGCAATTCTAGACTCTAAATACCTTCGGATAGAAACCTATAGGGGCAGACTTGAAACCTTTGTTACTGAATCCACCATTGAAATCCACTACCATCAGACTATCAACCTGTGTACATGGACAGCAAGCACAAATTTTAAACTAACAGTTATAGAAATAATCGGATCAAGCTATTCATGCAAGCCTCTTGCATCTCGCATGAACAAGTAAAAGGATCATGACAAATGAAAAACAGAGCACGAACTCATGACCATGGAAAAACAGAGCAGCCACACTGTTTCATAAGGTATGCTACTTATAATCCAATCACAGAACACCATATTGATGGTAATTAAGCAGTATCTCTAATTGCATTTTGAACAATATCAAGCATCATTAATTTTATGAGAAAATAGTCAAGTTCATGATGGATATCAAAAATAAGATGTGAAGAGACTAAGAACAAGAATATAATGTATAAAATATAATTGATACGAACCGTATAAGCTTCGATTTCACAGAATGGTGAACCGCTTGCCCTCAAAATGCTTTGATTTTGCACTGCACAACGAGAGAAAGCTGAATTTACCACAAGCAGAAATCCAAGAATGCATTTTCAATTTAAAAGCATAGTTAAGCCAAGAAAACCTTAAGAGATAATGGTATGTAAATGAGTTCTCCCACAGTTTGGTGACTTCAAGTTTAATTGATTGCCAAGTGAAGAGAAAGAAAAACCTGTAGGAGAAAGGGTTTGAGCTGAATAACTCTTAAGCTCCTCTTCAACTGGCAGGCTCAAAAACTTAACCTCCAGTTAATTTGGACATTTTCTCATCAACTTCTTCTAAACTCATTCCATGATCGATCAGCTACATGTCAAGATTTATGTTAATAAAATATGGGATGAAATTTATAAGTTAACAGATCAATCTATCACCTGGAGAAAGCCATAACACTTGCAGGAATCGCCAATTTGTTGAGTAAGCTGGCTTTTACCACATCCCAAGTCAACAATTAGGATGCATTCGAATTCAGAAACTTCAGATAGCCTGCGTCCCTTGGAGGGTTTCGGCAACTTTGACTAACAAAGACTACGAAGTAGAGAAAATAGAACTTCGGTTTCCATAATGCAAAGCTGGTTAGAAATATTCTATTCCATTGACAGGACCCACTCCCTCGGTTGTTTCTTTTATTATTCAAAACACCTGTCCTATTAAATTCTTTTCTTCCTCCTTTTCTTTTTTTTTTCTTTTTTTTTTTTTTTACATTGTATTTTAATATGTATTATGCCTAAAAATATAAAGGCTGACGTCAGGACCTTTAGCCTGTAAAAGTCAGATCATTGGAACAACCATCGTCTGCGTCTGTCAGGATAGTGGGTGCACGTCAGGCTAGTCAGGAGGCTGTGGTGCTCCCACGTGTCCAATCCCTGCTCTAAATCGCGCAAATCACTCTGGAAGGTGGGCAATGTGACATAAAGAAGGATTTGCACGGATAATCCCACCAACTCGCAGATTTAGTGATGATTGCCTCAAGGCATCTGACTATAAATTAAGAATTCATCTCTCATTAAGGGGATTCGCACATCTTTTACTTAATTAATTACTCTCTCTTTTCTCAGCATTTGATACTTTGTAATATCATTATAAAGTCAGTCAGCTAATAGCGACCTGACCCCGATCATCAATATAAGCATCAGTAGACGTAGGACTTGCTACCTTAGCATCCGAACCACTTTAAAAACTGTCTCTATTGCATTTACTATTTCTCATCCATTACTTTCACATGTGATTTCGGGGCCCCTTGCAACATTTCGCACGTGCGTTTCGTTGGTGCAAAATCCCGCATCAACAATATGTTTAATTTATTTTTAGATCACTGATTATTTGGAACCGTGAGGTTATGTTCCATATATATATATATATTGCCACCAAAACTGACTTCAAGTTTAATTGATTGCCAAGTGAAGAGAAAGAAAAACCTGTAGGAGAAAGGGTTTGAGCTGAATAACGCTTAAGCTCCTCTTCAACTGGAAGACTCAAAAACTTAACCTCCAGTTTGGACATTTTCTCATCAACTTCTTCTAAACTCATTCCATGATCGATCAGCTACATGTCAAGATTTATGTTAATAAAATATGGGATGAAATTTATAAGTTAACAGATCAATCTATCACCTGGAGAAAGCCATAACACTTGCAGGAATCGCCAATTTGTTGAGCAAGCTGGCTTTTACCACATCCCAAGTCAACAATTAGGATGCATTCGAATTCAGAAACTTCAGATAGCCTGCGTCCCTTGGAGGGTTTCGGCAACTTTGACTAACAAAGACTACGAAGTAGAGAAAATAGAACTTCGGTTTCCATAATGCAAAGCTGGTTAGAAATATTCTATTCCATTGACAGGACCCACTCCCTCGGTTGTTTCTTTTATTATTCAAAACACCTGTCCTATTAAATTCTTTTCTTCCTCCTTTTCTTTTTTTTTTCTTTTTTTTTTTTTTTACATTGTATTTTAATATGTATTATGCCTAAAAATATAAAGGCTGACGTCAGGACCTTTAGCCTGTAAAAGTCAGATCATTGGAACAACCATCGTCTGCGTCTGTCAGGATAGTGGGTGCACGTCAGGCTAGTCAGGAGGCTGTGGTGCTCCCACGTGTCCAATCCCTGCTCTAAATCGCGCAAATCACTCTGGAAGGTGGGCAATGTGACATAAAGAAGGATTTGCACGGATAATCCCACCAACTCGCAGATTTAGTGATGATTGCCTCAAGGCATCTGACTATAAATTAAGAATTCATCTCTCATTAAGGGGATTCGCACATCTTTTACTTAATTAATTACTCTCTCTTTTCTCAGCAGTTGATACTTTGTAATATCATTATAAAGTCAGTCAGCTAATAGCGACCTGACCCCGATCATCAATATAAGCATCAGTAGACGTAGGACTTGCTACCTTAGCATCCGAACCACTTTAAAAACTGTCTCTATTGCATTTACTATTTCTCATCCATTACTTTCACATGTGATTTCGGGGCCCCTTGCAACATTTCGCACGTGCGTTTCGTTGGTGCAAAATCCCGCATCAACAATATGTTTAATTTATTTTTAGATCACTGATTATTTGGAACCGTGAGGTTATGTTCCATATATATATATATATTGCCACCAAAACTTTATTAAATATATTTTTCACCCTTAGTTTGGTTTATACTAATTTTAAAGTTAATAAATTTTAAAAAATAAAGTCAATTATTAAAAAAAAATCAAAAAAAAAAATTATAAAAATTTGCGGCTTCGTGAAGTGAAGTAAACCTAGTCGCTCTACGAACTTAAGTCGTTTTTGTTTTTCTTTACTTCTTGTGTACACATTGAAGTTTGAACACATGGGAAAGTAGAAGTGACAATGATGTGCTCCCCAAAACATGCAACTATTAACCACTCATTCCCTTCTTTACGGGGAAAGGCTATGAATAATTGTAATATTGGAGTATTAGAATGAAGACTCAACTCACCAAACAATTAATACAAAGTCAA